AGTAAGGAAGATTGGACAAGTCCAAAAATAACATTAAGAGCTTTATGGGAGCTTCACATGCTTAAGACTCTGTCTACCCAGCACAAAATGGAGTGGCAGTCTGGCCAGCCTCCAGTTGCTTTAACAAATTTGGCAGCCCTTGAATACATAGGGCTTCAGTCGATCATAAGGATCTCTGGAGAAGGGAATTCCACTAGTGCCACTGGGAGCTTACCGCTGGTTGCTTCTGAGACTGGAGAAGTGGAGTCTATGTTTTTTCCTTCCATCATTTTTGTTTCTCAAGAACCTTCTCAGCTCAAAGTGGGAATTTTGGACTAAGTGATGATAAAGATCCCAGTACCAGTTGCTTCTGGCTTTGTTTCATGGTTGATTAATATTAATTTCATTTTCAAACCCTTCCGTGTTCTACATTACATTTTGTACACATCTTTGTTCTGGAATGAGTGCTGTTTATTGCAGTTTTCTACATCCATGTCTATCTCTTCCAAGGAAAAAGCTGTAACATATTAATTGTTCTAACTGAATTCTCTACTATATTTCTTTTTGCTATGTTTAGTACGATATTGATTTTTATAATCATAATTACTGAACAGATTGTTTTTCTTAAAGAATTTTCTTTGGGCCCTACTCTGGTGCTGCTAGAAGGTACTGCAACCCATGCTTGGGTTAAAATGATGAAGTGTGAAAGTCTATCTCTGTCTCTTCTTTGTCTGAGGTTTATTCTGCTGCTGTTCTCTATAGACCTATCCATACTTTCTGGCCAGTGGTGGATTAAGTGAGTTCTGAGCACTAACCAGCCATGCTCTATCTTAACCTGGTTGTGGCAAGTGGCAGCTTATGATTGTTTTTAAAACTGTATGGGGGCATTTAATTCATTCCTCTCCGGTCATGCTATATTTCACAATCAAAGGAAGTGAAATAATGTACATGTTTAAAGTATGTTCATCCCTACGTATACTAGATTTACTTTTGAATGAAAGATGACATTTTACTATGTTTTAAGCTTCTTCTAGAGGCAAGAGAGAGGCACTGAGAGTGTTAAACACCAGGATGACATAGAAAGCAACATTGTAAGATGGATTAGAGGGGAAGAGGTGAGAGTCAGCAAGGCCATTTAGGGATTAATTTCAATAGCCTTGATGAGAGATGATGAGGGCTTGAGACAATGAAGACAGAAAAACATAAAACAGGCACTTTGGAGGAGAAATGGAGGGAGTTGGTGACTGAGAAATAAGAGGATAAGACAAGATTCAGACTTCAACCTTCACAAATGATTGAAAAATTTTTTTATCATAGGAAAATATCCATAAAATAAAATGTATTATTTTTGCCATTTTAACTACACTTTAGTGGCATTGAATATGTTCACATATTCAATATGTTCACATTGTTGTGCAACATCATGACTGTCCAATGGTAGCACCTTTTTATTATCCCAAATTGAAATCCAGTACCACTAGGTGATATCTCCCATTACCTTCTCCTTCCAATTTCTGATAACCACCACTCTATGAATTTGACTACATTAGGTACTTCACATCAGTGGAATAATTTACCTATTCTTTTGTGTTTAGTTTTTTTCACTTAGCATAATATTTTCAAGTCAACAATTATTGTGTTGTGCCTTCTACAAATTGCTTAAAATAAATCTATATTTTTCAAGATAACACCAAATTAGTACATACTTAAATAAAAATAGGATTTTTTTCTGTGATTTCTAATTGCAAACTATGGATAATTGAAGTTAAATTTTTCTTTTGTGTCCAGAGTGTGCATGGTGTGAGTTTTTGTGTGTGTGTGTGTATGTGTGTGTGTGTATCTGTGTGTGTGTGTGTGTGTGTGTGTATGTGTGTGTGTGTGTGTATGGAGAGAGAGAGAGAGAGACTCTCAGCCCACTTGTTGGGTATTCTTACACTGTAAAAGTTGCCTCTCAACACCCATAAATATTGTATTTTCAGGTCTTCCTTAAATTCCCCCTAGATTGACATGTGTTTATCAAGTCTCCTATTTTCTTTGAACTGTGTTCTCTGATAACAAGTCAAAGATGGTGACAAGGGGTTGTTGTGCATTTCTCAGAGACACAGGAGGCTGAGACAGGAAGATTGCAAATTCAAGGTCAGCCTGGGCAACTTAGTGAGACCCTCAATAACTTAGCAAAACCCTATCTCAAAATAAAATTTAAAAACAGGCTGGGGATGTAACTTTTTAGCCAGGGATTAAAAACAAAATAGACCACAAATGCGTTCTGGTGTCAAGGTAGAAACAGAAACTTCAGGAAAACAGCAGGTTGATGAAGGAAGAGTTGAGGCATGTATGGCCAGTGCAGACTTGGGTTCTACCAAACCTCCTCTTTACCTAGATTGGCTATGAGCACTGTGGGGTGGCTAAATGGTCCATCACACCTTGCTAAAGGTGAATGGTGCTTATGTGGCAATAGGCAAGGAGAGAGACAAAGTAGAGCTTCTTGTCCAGAATCCTGTTTGGGTTGAAAAGAGATTTTCTAGTTTACTCAGGGAACATGAGTTTGGAAGCCAGAGGGTCAGGGTTTAAATTATTGTGTGATCTTGGGAAGGTAATTTTTAATTTTTTTCGTGGAACTGTGGATTTAATCCAGGGGTACTTTATCACTGAGCTACATCCTTAGTCTATTTTTAAATTTTATTTTGAGATAGGGTTTTGCTAAGTTGTTGAAGGTCTCAATCTGTTGCCCAGGCTGACCTTGAATTTGTAATCCTCCTGTCTCAGCCTCCTATGTCTCTGGGATTGCAGGTGTGCTCCATGACATCTGGCTTGGACAGGTCATTTAACTTCTGTGCTTTGGTTTCCACAGGAGAAAAGGACAAAATGGTATCTACCTTACTGGGTTGTTGTAATTATTAAATAAAACAAGATTTAAAAACTTGTTTAAGGATAGTTTTTAGAATATAGTACACACTTAATATATGTAAATCATCCTTCATTTTAGTCTTTTTGTTTTTGACTTTGGGGGTTAAACCTGGGGTGCTTTACCACGGAACTACATCCAGAACTTTTGATTTTCTTATTTTGAGATAGGGTCTTCATAAGTTGATGAAGGTCTTGATAAGTTGAATTTGCATTCCTCTTACCTCGGCCTCCTGAGTTTCTGGGATTATAGGCACATGCTACCATGCACGGCTCATTTTAGTCTTGAGAAAAAAAATGAGACCAAGAGACATTTTACTGCTGGCTCAGTGTAAAGCCAAGACTGGAGATGCCAGAACTTAAATGTGCTTTTTATTCCTCGGGGTTTCTTAAAACCAGAAGGAGGGGAGAACACCAGGTTATAATCAAGAATCTCTCTGCCAGAGTCTGAGGGGAAAAAGAAAAATGTCACCTGATCCAAAAGTTCTGCATTTTATTTCCCCACAGTAGGAAGAAGGGTGAATTTTATGAGAAGGCAGAACTAGAGGAATGGCTGTGGTGGTGGTGGTGGGGGAGGGCGGAGAGTAGGGAGGGACAGACTGCCAGGGGGATATCTTCACCTACATCCATACTTTGTTATTCCATTATTTTTGGTTTTGTTTGTTTTAGTAAGAAAACTTGGTTAAAGTATAAATGTCCCTTTAGAGGGGTTATATATTTACTTCCTGTATTATTTATCTGTTGCCATGTAAAAAAATCACCTCAAAACAATGGTTTAAAACAACAACAATTATTTGTTACATCTAAGAGTTTTTAATTTGTTTTTTAGTAATAGATGGACATAATACCTTTATTTATCTATGTGGTGCTGAGGATTGAACCCAGTGCTTCACATGTTCTAGGTGAGTGCTCTACCACTGAGCTCTAACACAAACTGACATCTCACAGTTCATGTGGGTAAAAAAATTCTGGAATGGCTTGGCTGGCTGGTTCTGGCTCAGGATCTTGCAATAAGTTATAGTCATATCAGCTGTGATGCAACTTGTGATGCAGCTGAGCTGACATCTTGACTGCATCTGGAGGAGTCACTTCCAAGGTGGTTCATTCACAAGTCTGGCAGGTCAGCTCTCTCCAGTTCTCTTACCTCTTTATGGGACTGCTTGAGTATACTTATAACATGGCTACTGGTTTTCTCCAAAATGAGCAATCCAAGAAACTAATGTAGAAGCTGCCATACTTTTCTGACCTAATGACTGAACTGGCAAAATCTGATTCAGTGTAGGAAGAGTCTAGACAATGCATGGTCTAGAAGACCAGAGTCTAGACTAGACAAGGATCTCGACAAGAATGTGAAGACTAGGAATAGAGGATCATTGGTGGCCATGTTGGAGGCTGGCTACCACACCCACCTAGTTCCAATCTGTTGTACTCCAGGATAGGAGAAATACAGGGGCAAGGTAGGGTTTGAAAGGAAACCTTGAAGTGGTCCTGATGGGGAAAGTAAGAAGACCCAAATGAGGTTCACCAAACTTTTCCTACCCTACCACAGGGTCTGAAAGGCCGTGTGAATCAAGTAGAAGCAACCCCTGAAGGAAGCTACCAATCTTAACCATTGAGCCCCATCCCCAGACCTTTTTAATTTATTCATTTTAAAATTTTGAGACAAGATCTTGCTAAGTTGCTCATGGCCTCACTAAGTTGATGAGGCTGGCTTTGAATTCTCGATCCTCCTGCCTCAGCCTCCTGAGCTGCTGGGATTATAGGCATGCACCACCATGCCCAGCAACAACTTTGAAACTCTTGAAAGAATCCCTAGTGATCACTATCATCTATCTGGTCAGATAGTGGCTGCTGCTGCTCCCATTAAAGTACTGTGTGCTATAATAGCAGGTGGGTCTCTTTATGCATTATTGTCTCCATCTTTGAAATGGGGTAGACAATATTAAATCACTGGTGGTTGTTTTGAAAAACAGGTTATCATTAAAAATACACAGTATATTTATTTTCATGTTATTATTTTGTTGTAAATGTTCATTAGCTTATTTAAAAGATAGTGTAAGTTCCTCATAGATGCATTAATCAACACACTTACTTGCTCATTTTTCTTTTAATTTTAGTTTTCAAAAATACCCAAAGGCTACATCATTACGGGGTAATGGACTGCAAAATCTTATTTAATTGCAATGAACATATTTACTGGAGTTACAGAAAAGAAAAAAAAATAGTCTAGAATCTTCTATCAATTTTAAAGAATCAAAACAACCTCTGGTAATAGGCAAGTATACTTCCTTGTGATCCCACTCCCCCTCCCTCTCTCCCCACTCCAGCTCTGAAGATTTTGAGAAAGCAGAATATCCTGGGTCAGATCATTTTTTGTACTCGAAAGGATTTGGAGACCTATAGCTCAAAACTCTTGGGAGATTCATGTATCTAACACATTCATGATTTGATTTTGACATAGGGTTTTAGGGTAACTCACCAATGGCAATTTCCAGAGCTTTCTTTCTCTGAAAAGAAGAAAATGTTTAGCTATTAGACTATGCTTGGGACCTCTTGGGCTATAAATGGTTCCACTGGCTGTGAAGTATTCTGATGCATTTTGTCTTCATTTATAAGATGATGTATTTTTTTTTTTTGAGGTGAGCAACCAGGCTTTATTCAAGCAAATGGTCTTATTTGTGGTTTTTGAATTATATAAAATGTTTTAAGGGGATATTTTCCCCATAAACTAAAAATGATAATTAAGAATAAATAAAATGCAAGTTCAAGAACAATTACTGCACCCAAATTTTTCTACCAAATCTTGATACCATTACAGATATGACTATATTTAATTCAATCTAAGAGTTTCTTCAAACTGAATTCTCTTGCTGTCTATTTCTGGTTCCTCAGGGATCCTATGAAAAAATCCAAGGAAATTCCTTGCTGATTAGGGAGATATTAGACTGCAACATATGGTCCACACATGTCATTAGTATTCCTCTGAGGAAAAAATGCAAAGGATTATATTTAGAATACAGAGTATGTGTTCAGTGGTTGGGATGACCCAGGGGATTATTAGTTTCTTCTTGTGGAATTTTCTGTAGTTAAAAGATGAATCCAGAATTGTGACTGCCTGGTAGACACTGAAGCCCATCTGCAAGTTTTGCAGGTATGAGGCCTGCCAGATTTTTACTATAGTGTAATATCTTCAAAACTATTTATATTGCTCTTAAGACAAGATTTTCTATATATATTTGAAAGAAGTCTTTTCACACAGGTACCTTCTGAAATAAAAACTCATCCATGAATTATATATCATTAACCTCCAAATAAAATGAGTTGTGTCTGTAATAGTGTTGTAAATTTTGTATCTACTAGTGTTACAGAAAATTAATAATTTTAATAATAATAATAATTATTATTTTAATAATAATAATAATTAACAAATAATTCAAAATTTTATTCCTTTGTTTCCTGATGGTTTTACAATTGTGTTTGCATATTTGATGTGGGAACTAGACAACAGATGTCTTAGTCCATTCAGTTTGCTGTAACAAAAATACCATAAACGGAGTGACTTCAAAATGATTAAAAGTTAGTACTTATAGTTCTGGAGGCTAGGAAGTCCAAGATCAAGATACTGGCAGATTTGGTATCTGGTAAAGGTTCTTTTCCTCATAGATGGTACCTTTTTCCTGTGTCCTCATATGGTGGAAGGGACAAACAAGTTTCCTTGGGTCTCTTTCATGAGAGCATGAATCACTTTAATGACCTCCCAAAGGCCCCACCTCTTAATACTATTATACTGGGTGTTAAATTTCAATGTATGAGGCTGGGGGGTGTAGCTCAGTTGGTAGAGTGCTTGTTTTGAAAGCACAAGGCCCTGGGTTCAATCCTCAGCACCAAAAATAAATAAAAATTCCAATGTATGATCTTTAGGGAGAACCCAAACATTAAGAACATAGCAAAAGGACATGATTTATTTATTTATTCATTCACTGATTCACTTATTTATCTATCTATTTATTTTGTGGTACTGGGAATTGAGCCCAGTGTTTCCTTGCTCAGGTAGGCAAGCAATCTATCACAGAACTACATTGCCAACCATTTTTTTAAAAAAATTATTTTGAAACAGCTACATTCTGTCACTTTTTAAGGTTTTGTTTTGAGACAGGATCTTGCTAAGAAGCCCAGGTTGGCCTTGAACTTGCAATCCTCCTGCCTCAGTCTCCCTAGGAGCTAGAATGTGCCACTATATCTGGGCAATGGGACATGATTTCTAAGGAAATTCTGAAATATAGGTAACCTGCCATCAGGTCCCCTCTTGCCTCTGCAAGAGTTATTTCTATTCTTCACACTTGAATAACTCTACTTCTTTCACTCTTGAAAAAAGAAAAAGAAAAGAAATTATGAACTCATGTTTTTGTCCTAGGAAGCAAGCCATAGGTCGATTTGCCAGGCCTTGGCTAATCTCACCATCTCAGAAACTCCATACTTCCTTCCCAATTTTCTGGTAAAACATCTTGTAGTGCAATATGAACTCCTTGTTTTGAAGGAATCTTCCTTAAACTGATGGAGTCCTGAAATATGTAAGCACTTTCAACACATATTTGGCCTTTCTTTCTGAATATTCTACACTCTGTTAAAAATCAATATTCCTTGCCCATTTCACACCTCCAGTCAACTGATGACCCTTTCCAATTGCCTGATTGGCACCTGAGTGGCACCTGATTCTCCCTTCTAGTCACTCAGGTGAGAACCATTGGGAAGTATACTTTTCTTTATCCTCTGACACTAACTGCTTTCTAAGTCCTTTATTTACTTTTCTCTCAAGTTATCTGAATTGTTTTCCATTTCCCCCTTCTTCCACATCACATGTGAATCTTTGATTAGAGCTAAGCTTCCACGATTCAATGTGCTTTTCATCTGATCCAGATGAAGTCCTGTTGCCAGTGATTCTTCATGAACCATCTCCCTCTCCGAGTTGTGCTGCTGCTCTGGCTGCATACTACAGCAAGCTCGGACTCTTTGATGTAACTCTCAGGGTCTCTAATGAGAACCTGTTCAACATATCCAAACTGATTTCCCTCTATTTCCAAAACAAACCTCCTACTTCAGTCTGGTTAGTTTCCTATTGCCTATTATTCATAGTAAACTCTTACCTTGTTTTGTTCTTTTTTTTCCCAGTCATTTTTTTTTCTTCCTGAAATATTCCTTTCCTTATCTTCCAAATCTGCAAATTCAGATCTCTGATTACACTACTTCACAGTAGCTTCCTCTTTCCCTGCATTTAAAATCAACAAAATAGATCAAAACCATAAAACTATGTTCTTCGTGCTGGGGTTATGGCTCAGTGGTAGAGTGCTGGCCTGGCATGTGTGAGGCCTTGGGTTTGATCCTCAGCACCACATAAAAATAAATGAAAATAAAACGATCCATTGACAACTAAAGAAATTTTAAAAATAAAAAAGAATAAAACTGTGCTCCTATTCTTTGATTCAGTAATCCATTTCTGGAACTATATCCTAAGAAATGAACAAATAACAAATTAGAATAAACTTGTGCACAAAGTTTCCCTTTCCTTCCAATATTATTGATGTGAACACTAAAGACAAGAAACAAACTACATGTCTAATAACAGAAAGCAAAAAGAAAAAAAGGGCTGGAGATTTGGCTTAGTTGGTAGAGTGCTTGCCTTGCATGCACAAGTCCCTGGGTTTGATCCCCAACAAGCATCCCTGCCTTCCCATCCCCCCCGAAACACACACCAAAAAATTAAAAAAAGAAAAAGAAAGCAGAAAGAAAGAATTATCATATATATCCCTATGGAAATATTGAATGCACAAAATCAATATGCTAAAGATATGTAATCATGTGCATTTTAAAAAACTTATAAGTTAACTTATAAGTTAACTAAAAAGTAGAAACAATGTAGCATTATATTTACATAACCATTTTAAATCAGCCCTTAATATGTGAATTTTAAATAAGCTTGATTATTTCCATTTTTTAATGATAAAAAAAGATAATTTGACAGTGAATAAATTTCTGACAAAAGAATAACACATCCATATATGTAAATATTTTTGAATTTTGTTTAAAAAAGTTTAATATCTCTTATATGCCAATAATATTCTAGCACTTTATTACATGTCAATTAATCCTTACAGCATACTGAGCGAAGGAGGCATTATTAGCTACCTTTTATTGATGAAAAAAATAATTCCAGAGAAGTTTAAATAATTTTCCCAAGATCAAACATCCAGGAAATGATAGGTTCAGAAAGTTTACCTGATTCTGCTATGAGAGCATCTGAATCTAGATTAAATTTAGCCTCTTCTTCATTCATAGTAAAATATTCATTGTTGAGAACATGATTATTAAATACTGTGACTATTATACTCCTGAAAAAGTAGTGGACAAGAGAAAGATGTGGAGGGAGAGATAGATTGAAATTATTTAAATGGATTTCTTCCTAAGGATTATGCAGAAACATTGATGAAGTTGATGACAAAGCCTATACTAGGTAGACAGAGACCTTCTGGGAGCTCTGGTTTGCCATTTTTAGATGACAGATTGTGATTCAGAGATGACAATGATAAAATTGTTCAAACAATTGAATAATTTGAGTAAGATGCAAACCATCATCAAAATCAGATGGAAGGGCTGGGGATATAACTCAGTTGGTAGAGTGCTTCCCTTGCATGCACAAGTCCCTGGGTTCAATCCCCAGCACCACACACACACACACACACACACACACACACACACACACAAAATCCAGGAAATGATAGGTTCAGAAAGTAATTATGTGGATTTTAAAAAACTTATAAAGTTAACTAAAAAGTAGAAACAAAAGATTGGAGGCTACCATTTTTCTGTAGACCCCAAATTTCTTTTATTTTTTATTTTTATTTTTTTGGTACCAGAGATTGAACCCAGGTGTGCTTAGCCACTGAATCACATACCCAACCCTTTTAATTTTTATTTTGAGACAGGGTCTTTCTAAGTTTCCTAGGATCTCACTAAGTTGCTGAGGCTGGCTTTGAACTTGCAATCCTCCTACCTCAGCTTCCAGAGCTTCTGGGATTTCAGGTGTGTGCTATTTTGCCCAGCTCCTAGATCCCACTATTCAATTTGGTACTTCATGACACTCTAGGTTTAAGCTATCTTTTATCTCTAAAGAAAATTGGTTCTCCAGACTCAGATCTATTTCTGGAATGGC